GCTCGAGAAGGGCAGGCTGCTGGTGTTCGTGGACCGGCACCACATCAAGCCGAAGCAGGTGCGGCTTGTTGTTGTTGTTGCTGTTGTTGGTGTGGATGGGGATGGTGTTGGTGGTAGTGGTGGGTCAAGTGGTGGTTGCGGTTTTTGTTGGTGGTGGTGTTGGTGTTGGTGTCGTCGGTTGTGGGTGTAGTGGAATTACCGAGGCGAAGGGCGGGGTGGGAAGTGGCTGTGCTGGCTGCTGTGTAGGCGTTGGTGGTGGTCGTGGTGTTATCGCTGTTACCACCTGGGTTGTGGGTAGTTTGTCAGCTTGTCGACCCCTACAAAACCAGACCGCGGGCAGCGGCTCTTGAGCGTCTGTTCCAGATTGTACACCGCCACACATGCGTTCCGGGCAACCTTACAATATAGTAGGACCAATTTCGAGCCGACCCTTTGCCTTGATTGATTCGTCGCGCTTGTGGTATTGTCGGTGTTGCCCCGGTGGTTACCGCCCACCCCCCCCTTGGCATCTGCTTGTGTCCGTCTCCCCCTGGGCGGGCACCCTCGGTCACTACGAAATGGCATTGCCGCTGTACGTGATGCGTGACAATACAACACCAACACCACCAACGAAACCAACAACGACATCAACAGGTGCACAAGATTTCTCCGAGCTGTTCGGTGTTCGAGACCAACCTCAAGGCCTTCTCCTTCGAGGTGGTCGTGGCGGGGCTGGTGCTGCACCTCCAGGGCTCTAGCTTCGAGGATAGCCTCCGATGGATCGCCACCCTCAAGGCGGCCATCAACAACAGCCCCCCCGATGAAACCGACCCTCTCTTGTCCGAGGCCCTGCGACTCGAGGACACCTTCTACTACGTGAGTTTCTCGCGGCCCGTCGTTGTTGGTATTGATCGGGTTTCTCGGGACTGGTGTTCGTGGGTTGTTGTTGTTGTTGCTGCTGCTGCTGTCGTTGTGTTGTCTTCATATTACCCCCTGCCCCTTCTGAAGGCGGCGTGCAAGTCCCCGCGTTTGAATGACGGACGTGGGTGCATGGCAACAAGCACGCAAGTTAACCACAACGCGTTCACCCCCCAGTATCTTGCCCCAGACTACCGCGTCCGCTGTTTTTCACGTAGCTTTTCTCAAAATTGTACCAAGGATTTTGGCCCTTGCGGGGGCCATCTTCATCGCAGGCACGTTAGATGTATCCCCTCTTGTCTGATCTCGTATGTACCGTGTTTTCTTTGTTTTGTTCTCGCGCTTGGACAGGCCGACTTCGAGACGAAGCAGCCCTTGGGTGTGGTCCTGGAGCGGTCCAAGGAATGGGCCATCGTCAAGCTCGCAAACCCGGAGCTAAGCCAGGTTTCTGTCGGCTCTGCGCTCGCCTCCGTCAACGGTGAGGGAGGACACGTGACACGTGACACATGACACATGGCACATGGCATGACACATTACCGTAGGTTGCGTGAGATATCGCACCCCCTGGACCAATTTTCAAAGCTCGATTTCTCCATGGCGAAGAGGATGCCGAAATTCAAGTGTACGTTTTCGGAAAGCTCTCGACGAGACGCGCTTCCAACGCCTCCCGCCATTTTCGGCACCGTGACGGCTTTTCCCGCCGAGATATCGAACCTCGAAAATCGGTCCAGGGGGTGTGATGTCTTTTGCAAGCTACGGCAGCAGCGACATGGCGCCGGCGCCTGGCCTGACTTAAGGCACGCACGCACGGGCTGCAGGGCTTTGGATTTCGGGGTTCCTCAGGAGGTTGTTGCTTGTCCTGTGAACGAACAACGTGTAATGAGAGGCAAATATGTTGCCTCGTGGTCACTAATCACCGCTGTCGGACAGCGGTTGGTGCCGGAAAACTCGCCAAGTCACGCCTGCGATGTGTCCTTCCCGTCCCCCTGTCGAGGCCAGTGGTCTACCGGCTACGACATGTGTTTTACATGAGTACCTCCCCTTGCAATATCCTGGGCGCTATGTTGACGTGTATGATACGACAAAACAGGTGAGTCGGTGGTGCTGAAGGCCTACGAGGAAACGATCGCCATGCTCACGGGGTGGAAGCCACCGCTGAACCTTATCTTCCGACGAGCTCCGGTGAAGGAGGGCTGGCTCAAGAAGGCCGGTGTCGGCAAGAAGGTGTGCGACTGCACTGTAGCACTTTTTGTTTCTATTGATTGTGTCAGGGTCTATACAGGGCGAGGTGTGCGACTACACTGTAGCACGTCTGCTGATTGTGTCAGGGTCTATGGAAGGCGAGATTAAGCCATTAGCCTAGTGTTCAGCCTGGGTCTCGAACCCACGACTAACGCTGATAGAGGCCAAAATGAAATCATCAGACTATTAGTGTTCAACCTGGGTTTCGAACCTGAGATTAACCTTTATCGAAGCAGAAAATATTTTCAGCTTCTAAAAGTCCCTCGATAAGTGGAGTCCCGATAGTGCGGGGGGGCGATATAGTAGTGCCGTCGAACGCCCCGGGAAAGTGTTGCTTCCCCCCCCGTGTTAGTGCTGTAATTGTCATAGTAGTAGCATGTGGTGTTTCACGTGGCAATCTAAAATCCCCATATCTCATGTTGTGTGTCGCTTGGTAGCTTCTGTGGTATACTAGTTACATATCTCAGACGGTTTCTTACGGTATTTGGTGTATCAGACGGAATGTTTTCGTGGTGCGGTATGGTCTTGTGGCATGGCGTGTGGTGCCGTGGCACATGTTCACTATTGCCACCTGCGGCGTGTGCCGCGTGATGCCGTCTTGTCCCCCTTGTTTTTGACACCCTTTCCTGTCGACCCCCCCTCCGCATGCATTTTGTGTCGCTCCCTCACCTGCTTGTCCGGGCGTACTGCACCCATTGCTGCAAACGAAGGCCTCGAAGTGGAAGAACGTCTGGGTCGACCTTCGAGAGGGGAAGCTTTCGTGGTTCAAGCTCGGCCCCGGCGGGACGTTGTTGGGGGCGATGCCGATGATCGGGTCGGCGGTGGCTCTTGATCCTGAAACCGAGGTATGTTATATTCCTAAGAGGCACTTGGAAGTACTACTGTGGACTTGGTGCACCTAAAAAAAAAATGTACCTGGTCATGCATGGTTAAACGCCGAAGAAGTTTCTTCGAATACGTTACTTGAAAAGCAGCAGAGAAGACGACCGGAGCGCGGTGGACTACTCCGGTGAAGAACCGACCGTGCCGCGTGCGAGAGGGCAGCCGACAAAACAGCGAACTTAGACGCCGCTGCCGTTCACCCCCCCCCCCCCCCCCCCCCCCCCTGGGGGGGCCCCCCAGGAAAAGAAAAAAGGGGGGGGGAAAAAAAATTTTTTGCCCCCCTTTCCAAAAAAAAAAAAAAAAATTGGGGCTCCGGGGTTGGGCCCGTGGGAAACCCCCCCCCTTTTGGGGGGGGGGGGGGGTTTTTTAAACCGAGGGGGGCGAAAAAAAAAAAACCCCCCCCCCCCCCCCCCCCGGCCCCCAAAAATTTTTTGGAAAAGGGGTTCCCCCAATCTTTTTGGGGGGGGGGGGGGGGCTTTCTCCCCGCGTTCCCAGGGTTTAAAACCCACGAG